AGCAAAAAGCAACCAATTGGAGATAAAGCTTCTAATCACAACAGGAGCACCCACACAACAACCCAAAACCATACAGCTGTGCTGCTCTACCAAGCTTGTTGTGCTTTCTTTCACATCTGCAGCTCAGTCCAGTTCTGCTGAGCCCATGAAGTCAAAGTTCAGCTTCACATTTCCCTTCCCTGATTGCGTTCTGATGGCTGAGGCATTAGGCAAATGAGAATGTGGCAGCTGCACAGCTGGCTGGGCCCTAAAATTGAAAGGTAGAGGCACTGAGAAACCAACAGGACCTCTCAGGCTATTAACCAAAATTTCTTGTACTTGAGCACACTAACATCTTCTCTTGTAAGAGAGAGATGAAGATTCACAGAAATTTGCTGAGGGTGCACAGAAATAGCCTTGTTATCACACCCACCCTCATGAATCTCCTCTTATGCCAAGGAGCCAGAGAACATGTTGTGGGGTTTTTTGGTAGCCCAGGCCACCAATGGAAACCCAAGAGCCCAGGCCATGCTGGGCACCCCGGCTCAGCCCCACTGCCCACATAGCTGGTGGTCTGTGGTACAGTGGCAGGGAGGGTGCTTGTGCTTCCCTGAGCTGAAGCCTGTGGTCACTCGCCCTTTTCTCCTCCTTGTAAGCTTTATCTCATCTCTCTCTGCCCCAGGTTCCTGGCAGTGCCATGCTGTGAACAGGATGAGCCATATCTTTTGCAACAGGATTGGCTCACCCTCCTCTCAGGGTCATTGGTCCCTACACTCATCACATTACCAACATGACACACTTTTTTTTTTTTTTTCCCTTCCTGCTGTTTATTGCTGGGAATTGGTTTGATCTGAACCAGTGAATCACGAACCCAGCAATAAAAAATAAGCCACAAAGCCAAGAGGCTCAAATCTCGTGGCACTTGTAGCTTTCCCGTGTGAAGGGAGATGTGAGTTTTAACCTTCCCTTGAAACAAAATTGCTGCTAGCAGCCCATGCTGGAGGGCAGTGGGATCAGCAAAATACACCTGGAAGTCCAAGGTACAGAGGTCTACAGCACTAGCTGTATCCTAGCTAACAGTGTTGTAAGCAAGCTGTTAGAGGTGGAAACGGGAGGAATGGCCATTTTTTACCTACATTTCAAAACTGAATCAATATTTGATCTTTCAGCTCTGCTCAAAAGACTAAGGTCAATCAATATTCAGAAAGGATACACACTTCACAACACCTTTGGAGGGGAAAGAAACAAAACTACAAACAAAATAAGAAATGAGCAAGAGCACCAAGCAAAGCAGCAGTAAATCTGGTAACAAACCCACCTCCCTCCTGCATCCCAGCCCAATAAAATAATTTGGTGCAACATCACCCTCCCATATTCTTTCTAATTTCTGAGTGTTTTTACAGTTTCTGTTTACCTAGGACCAGAGCTGGCTGCTGTACCACACAAAGTCATCCTTGCAATATGCCTGAGAAGCTTTGCCTTTGGCATGATATAGTTGACATTAGATTTACTGCAGCTGCAGCAGTACTGAGTATTAATCTGCTTCATGGTGGCTGCAGACTCTGCCCAGATCCCCTCAGACAGCAGGAAGTCTTACACTGGCCTGACAGTTCATTTCAGCAGCCATTTCTCCAGGGCATGGTATTAATATATCTTCATTGTTAGCCAAATACTACACGGGCCAGGAATGATACTCTCCCATAAAATCACTAGCCCAAGTCAAAGACCAAAAAGGGTTTTGTGCCCAGAGAAACTGCACTTTTGGGATGTCTAACCCACTCTAAAAGACTTTTAAAATATCAAAAGCCTAAGAGTAGAAAGCTCAGAAGAAGAGATTGCATACTATAACCTGTGTTCTTGGCCACCTCCAAGCACAATGCTTTTAAGAAAGAAAAACAAACAGCAGAGCAATGGGTTTCATTACTGTTATTAACACTGAATGAAACTTTGCTTCCCTAATAGTTTGACAGGCAAATCAATGGCAAAGTTTGGCCGCTGGCCAGCCCCAGTGGGGAGCAGTGGGGAGGACTGGGAAGCAGAGCTTTCCCAACTCCTGCTGATATCATCTCACAGCCTGGGGCATCCGATTTGATTGCCCTTATCTGAACCTGCATGCTATTTGTATCCAGAGATGCTTGGATGCAGAAATCACCTTCATGACTTCCCATAATGCTGGGTTCCACTAAGCTTGAGGCTCTGAAAAGGCATTTCAGATACTTGCTTCAAGCTCCTTAGCAATGTGAGGAAACATTCTGCCTAAATCTCAACACACTGCCTTGACAGGATCCCTTTTCTATGCAAATTTTTTTTGAATGAGACAATTTCTGTTTCTCAGTCTTCCACCAGGACTATTAACTTTTTCTGGGAGCTGTAGCTAATGGAGACATGTTGTTATGTAAAAGTAATAGCTATCACTGCTGCACAGAGGGTCACTTAACAAATGGACCCTGAAGTCTCAAACACCAGAATGGAAATGAAAATTTCTACTCATTTATTCACGCTATTGTTTTCACAAAGGATGTTCTAAGGGTAGAAAAGTGCTGACCTATGATTTGCCAGACTCCTGAATCAGGCAGCATGTGAAAAATCTGGAGAAGAGGGAAAAGGCTGAAATGTAGTGCTCCAGTAGACAACAGGATGAGGCGTGACACCACAAAGATGACTAGAAAGCTGACCTCAAGTCCAAATTCAAATGGAAATTACTGGGAATTCAGGTTTCCTTAATGCAGGGGTGGACACCTAGGAAAAGGTACAGCAGTTAACACCTCAACTACCACAGCAAATGAGTTCTCTGCATCTCATAATGTAGAGAAAACCAAAGATCTGAAAAGCAAGAGATCAAGATTAACAAGAGCAGAGTCAGATTTCTCAGGCATTGCTTTTACCAGACAACCACAGCACAAAACACAGAGATTGTAAATCCATTTCCTGTGGGTTGTCCCAGGTTAGACAGCACACCAGAATGGCTGTGGATTAAAACAAAAACAAGGCCTCTAAATCTATCTATATCACCTCCCACATTTCTCCATTTCCAGGACTCTTATAGGCTAGAAAGCGGAAAACTTTTGCTAGACCCACCACTTTTAGCACAGTGTTTTTGTAACCCTCTTCTTGAAAACAGTTGATTAAATATTGCTGTCATAAATTCAGCCTAGTAACAGCTGGGACAGATTTACAAGGGATGTGTTTTTTTTATGACTATCTATTATTCATGGTGTGTTAGCCCTTACAATGTGTTTAGTCAAGGAAAAAAAAAAAAGATAAGATATCCTCTGGTTTATTATTGACAGGATCTTGGCAGTTTGTGTCCCCAGGACTGCCTGGTCACAAATAAAATGAACCCAGCCTCTAAAAGCACTGATTCGATAATTTGGCTATGTCAGATTGCAAAATGAGATGGACTGAAGAGGACGGGGGCAATCATTTGTAACAAACACTGTATTTTTGTCTCTTAAATCTCAGGCACAAGTTTGTCATAGGAGCTAAGCTGTCAGTCCCAGGAGTGTGCAGTAAATGCTGCCCCAGAAACAGCCTGACCTGATTCCTTCCTCCTCAGGAAAGCAGTTTTTGCTCTGAAGGTACCAGTGGCATGTGCAGGAGGATTTCAGGTGACATGTAGGTATCCCAGGAGCTGTGTCAGGTGTCAGTCAATCACAAATGTCCTTGTAGGACATGGACAAGGAGCCAATCTCCTCTCAGCCTGGAGAACAGCATTGCTAACACACACTGCTCTGGCTGCCCTGCCAGCTCCATGGGAATATTCACCTGAGCCATAGACAGTGGAGATCAGTGCCTGGCTGGTGTGCTTTACACCATGCCAGGGGACATTGTTATCAACTGCAAAGCCACTAGAGAGAACAAAAGTCAAGACTTTGCCACAGGCCAGTCAATATTTTGGTGTCCCCAGAAACATCAGAAGATCCCAAGACATGACACTGAACTGTCGTTTTTGTTCAGCAGCTGAAACCTGATTTCTTCCCAAATTTTGTCTTGTGAGCTTCCCCAGTTTTGAACAGGAGCAGCTTCCAAGGGACAGGGGATACTGCCAATAGCATTACTGACACAAGCTTATCTGGCCAGTACCATCCTATAAAAAGAGGTGACAGGGATGAGTTACATCCCCCACTTCATTCACACACACAGAGTTGCCGTTAAAGCACCATCCATAGGTTTTTACCTTGCCTCTCTCCTACAGAGTTCAGATGTTGCTCAGGAATGACACTTCTGCTGCACTTTGAGCATTTACAAGACCTGATCCTAAAACCACTGTATGCAGGGACTGTAGCTTTCAGAGGCTGAATTTCCCAAAAGAAGAAAGCTTAGGGATAAACCTGCAGCAATGTGGCATGTTGAGCAGAGGTACCAACAGGCACAGAAGACTGCCCTCAACCCCCTTGAATGTGCTACCAATTCTCTCCCAGGACGGGTTCACCCCCCCGTTCACAATGAACAAAACCACAGCTGAGTACATCCCAGCAGCTCAGTGCAGTCCTCTCACTGGAATTTTACTGTCCAGGTTCTTTGCACACCTGCATCTCACCTCAGTTTGCTTTTCTGCAGTCCTCTCCAAGCCACCACTGCTCATGTGGATGTATAAGAACCAGGACAAGCTTTACAGAAGTAATTTCTTTAAAATGAGGCATTTGTATTCTGCTCTAAGCTGAGAATCTTTGCCAGCAGCACAAGCAAGAGATTTTTTTCAGTCAGCTGGGCAGGCTCTTCTGGGAATTACAAGAGCTGATTTCAAGCTGGGTTTATTTCAATCTTGGTCAAGTCACTTCAACCCTCCAGAGCTTTTCTTTTCAGACTCTCTTGTCTGCTGTTGACTATTAGATAAAGATGAACCTAGGCCAATTAAATAGCAACTCTTTTAATTAGCTTTTTCCTCTCAGCAATTATGGGAAATACTGTTTGCTTGCACAGCAGATATAACAAGATCCAAGGTGAATGTATTTTGTTATTGATCTTGCACAGTTCATTGTGCTCACTATTCCCTAAGAAATGGCAAGACAAAGAGAGACTAGAGACAGCTTCTCAGCAGAGCCTCCCTTCTGGTTATAACCTGAAGTGTTGTTTTAACTCATTCATCATTTATTTGCTTTGCCTCTTGGCCAAGTACCTCACCCCACCTCTCCACATGATTTCTTCCTTGGTTGACTCCATGCATGACTTGACTTCTAAACTGCAAGAGGTCACCTGACACACAGGTCAGTCAAACATTAACTCTGCAAGCACCCTGGTGTCCAGGACACCAGCTGCTCACACATCCTGGCTCACAGTCACCAAGGTGGGTCATCCCATCCAGCACATTCAGGTACTGCCCTGCTGCCTGCTCTTACTGCTCCATTAGCAGCAGCCGTGTGCCTTTGGAAGAAAGAAAGGAGAACTATCAGCTACCTGCTCATCACTCCAGTGAACGCGTTCTAAGCATCCTCCTGTCACTGTAGGGAAACCAGGAGTCCCCCTCCCTAAACAATTAACAACGACCCTGAAAGCCCAGATTGGTATCTGGGCATTAGTGACCAAATTTACCAGGCATTAGAGAACCAAAGCCTGAACTTAAACAACAAATACTTTACTACAGTCAGCACTATTGTCATTGTGGGGGCTGTGTGGCCTCCAGAGACACCCACAGGATGCCCTGACCTCAGAGCAGCACTTGAGCTCAGAGGGCAGGACTCGTATCTGCCTGGACAGCCCAACACACAGGCAAAAAGCTGGAGCCAGGACAGTCCCAGAAAGCACAGCTCAACAGCCAGAGCTGAGACCATCAACGAGCTGGTTACATGAAATAAAGCCCAGATTGTGCATGGGAGGGAGAGACTCATCATCCTCACTCCTGCTAAGACCTTTCCGAAGGTGCTAATTGCTCTCTCTAGGAAAGCTCGTTCCCCGAACTCCAGTTATTTCAAGACACGTGCGGCTCGGCTCCGTTTTATCTCTGGTTGCGGTACCAGGTGGGTGAAACTGCAGCAGCGAGAGGATAAAACCAGAGAAGGTCTTGTGCTGTGTGACGGAGGCAGTGACGCATATCAAACAGAAAACTTCAAAAGCCCTTATCCAGCTCCGAGCTGGGTGATGATGTGTCTCCTCAGAGAAAGCTGATAGCCTTGAGAGACAAAGGGCCCCCTGAGAGGCAGGAGCGCTGCACCTCCCTGCCTGCCTTCATTAAAGCTTTGGGCCAGTTCCCAACGAGCCTGAGTCTCGCTGAGGCTGCTGCCAGAGGGGTAGATAAGAGCACAGAAAAGCTGCATCTGCAAACCCCTTCCTGCCACCCCTCCTCCCGGGCCTGCCTGTTGCCCCAGCACATTAACCTTTTGTGCTTCCTACCCTTGGTTTTTTCTGCCCATATCTGTTTTCTACCATCACCACAACCTCCAGATACAGAGGCCACACCAAAGCGCAGCACCTTCATTGCAGGCTTTGAACACCATTGCAAAAGCAGCACTGTGTCAGTTCGGTTTCATCCAGGGCATGCAAACCCAACGAGCACAGCTTGGAGAGAAGGAGCAGGTGTTCCAAGGGTAGGGCCAGCTTCAGGCAGAGACCTGTGAAATAATCACCCAAGAGTCATGCTGCAAATTCAGACAGGAAGGGAGATGTATCAGATCCCACCAGAGCCCTGGGGAGGACTTGGACAGGCAGGCTGCTCTTACTCATCTGGTAATTCATCTGGGAGAGAACTTCTTTTGCTTCCCATTGCACAATCATCAGTGTAACATCTTCAAGTATCTTAACCTGTGTCTTGAAAAACCTTCCCTTTTATAATTACCAGGATTTAAAAATAATTTATTCATTTGTCTTTACCAATATCATGACCAAAGAGTTTCTGAAACTGTGATTTGGCCTGGAATGGGGACAGGATAGCAAAGAGTCAGTGCAGTAAGAGATGAGGAAATATACAAGCACCTGTATCTTGCACAGTTTCCATGGGAAACGCACCACTTTGTATTGCTGGATCTTTTGCAGCCCAGGGTAGAAAGGACACACACCAACAGAATCCTGGGTAACAAGTTTTAACCTTAAACTTGCATCAGCTTGGGCAGATTACAAAGGAGGCAGCTGTGACTCTCCAGAGGTCACCCTTCTTAACCACCCTCTCCCCAGAGAGCCCTTCTCCCTCAGGCACACACAGAGGTGTCACAGAAGAGCCAGCACTGCTGGCAGACACCACAGAGGCACACAGGAACTTTTGGGCTCTGGCAAAGCCTCGTGCAGATGTGGTGCATTTCCAACCCAGTCCACAACCCTGACACCCCGTGGCATCACACTTTAGCAGCTTCAGGCTCTGTTCTCATCTGTGCCTGGAAATTTTCTTTCCTTTGGAGGCATTAGCTTGGTGAAAACTCGAGCGGCTTAACTAAATCTTGTGACAGAGACTGACAATGCTCTGATGCCTCATGGGACCGTGTTGCTTGTGACCTCTGCTTTCCTACCTGAGCCAGAGCTGCCAACAGACTCAGTGTTCCCTTTTCAGAGGGTTTAAATGGAAAAAGGGCAGGGTTACATATTAGGAAGCAATTCTTCTTTATTTAGGTGGTGAGGCCTGGGCACAGAGTGCCCAGAGAAGCTGCGGATGTCCCATCCCTGGGAGTGCTCAAACGTAGGTTGGATGGGGCTCTGAGCAACCTGGGCTAGTGGAAGGTGTCCCTGTTAATGGCAGGGGGTTGGAACAAGATAGTCTTTAAGGGCCCTTTCAGCCCAAGCCATTCTATGATTGTGTGATCTCCAAGGACAGCTACAGGAGGTGGCTTTCCCCTCTTCCTGCATTTTGGAGACAGTATTTCAAAGAAAGCTGCTTAAAGCAGCCAAACCAGCAAGCTCCTCTCATTAAAAGGGAGCTCTACCAGATACAGCTGCCATACTCCTGGCAAGCACTGCCTGCAGCAGTGCCAGGTCTGAGCTTGTGATAATTAATATTTTTAGAGAGGCCACACTTCTGATGCATTTACAACAAGCAGAGAAGGCTAACTGCCCAAAGTCCAGGTGCTTTGGGACTTATAAGGAGTCATCCTAGAAAGCCAAATGCATCAGGTTACTCTGGATGCTGAGTTTTACATGAAAAGGAGACTAACTATTCTCTAAGGGGTTATCCACAAGCCCTTTCCATTAATTGCTTCGTTAGCGTCTTGCAGAGAGAGTTCTGGGCACAAGGGCAGTAAAACCTAAGAAATGCACCCTGCTGGCAGGTGGAATTGCTGGCCAAAATCTGCTCACTTTGCATTTGCTTCCAAACTTGAAGCTGTGCCCTAAAGAAACCACAAAGCAATCATTCTTCAAAGAGAACCTCAACAGGGGGACAGGATTGGTTTGGCTTTCCTTGTTGCTTTCCAAAGTCTCAGAAAAGAGAGGATATTATTTGTCTATGGAAATCTCATATGCAGAGTTACATCTGCAGAAAACAATAAAGAGAGCATTGATAATATAAAATCCAAGGAATAGCTCCAAGAGCCGTGTGTTCATGGAAAAACTACTATTTCTCTTGACTGTAAACACATTTAGGGAACATAAAAATGCAAAGAATGAGGTTGCATTACAGATCTGTGATTGCCCAGCTTATTTTACACACATGCAACCCTCAGCCTTTCAACCTACAGCTCAAATTTTGCAGTGATCTCCAAAAAATTGAGAAACATCCAAGTCTGAAAAAATCCTGGCTTTTGTTCCTGTAACCAGTTGAGACCCTTCACAAGATTTTCTGACCAGTTAATACAGCAGCTTCAAATTAACATGGAAGGAACTGAGCAGTTTGGATGGAACCTGATAAGCTGGTACAAGAATAGATTGGCAAGTGGGTTTTTAAACTTTAAGTCTGAGGATTTCTTTGAATCCAAAATGAAAGCAAAACATGCCATGGTTGTAAAATCCCATAAGATGTTTTGAAATTATTTGAAGGGCTCCTTATAAGCCAAAGACTTTGAGTTTCTCAGAATCTGAGTTTCTAGCCCTTTCTCATGGTAACAGTCAGGTTCTGGGCATGATAGTGGAGAAAAAGTGGATTCCAGTTCTTAATGGCAGAAAAGGCACAGCAGAAAAAGATGGTGCAATCCAGGTGTCCAGTTTTTTTTTTTTAATCAGGCTAATTTTTTCTTTCTTTTTAAATATGTAGGGCCTAGACACAAACCTTGAAAAGGAGAACAGCACAGTGAAGAAAAAGGGCATTCCATCTCTCTGTTCAGATGCAGCCCAGCCTCAAGTTATTGTGGCAAGTGCTCACGACGCTAATTTTTAAAAATCCATTTACGCATTTTGGAGGAAAAGCAGAAATGAAAGCAATGTGGACTATTAGGGAAAACCAGCAGGGAGGGAAAAAGGTTATACATTCTTAGTACAAGCCTTACATCCTATTCAGCAAGGGTACTGCCCAGAGGAACACAAGCTACTTGTGCAAGAGTTTCACCCACTCAGCTCAAGGTGATTTTGAAGCACAAAAAATGCACAGTGGAACACAGCATTGCCTATACTCTGCTCAAAGGAGCAAATGTTCAGCCAGGGGAGTACTCAGAGTGAATGGCTGCCAAGGCACAAGTTACATGGATACTCAAAATAAAAATACCTGCAAGGTGCATTTTTGAAAGCAGATCTCTTTCTGAGAGACACATTAAGATGCAAGAAGTACTTTGACAACAGCAATTTACCAGGACAATCTGTTAGAAGCATTGGGCAAGTTAAAAGAAGTGACTTCAGAATAATTGCGTTGATTATGGTCAGTACACATAGTAGAGAGAATTCAGCTCTGCACCTCTCCTAGAAATTATGTTTTTTTATTTTTCTCTGCCAGGTCCCTTTTACTTATATCCACTCATTCTCCCACCATAATAGCATCCATCTAAATGAGAAAAAACATCTTATAAATCCTTCAGATTTTCCTGGGGGTTTTGTTGTTGTCATTTGCCATTACTTTTTTTCTTAAATAGTCTCCTAAAAATTGTTTGCTTTCATTGCAACCTCTTCATATTTGGCATTTCTGCCAACACCAACAGGGAAATGAGAAAGAAATGGCTTTGCTCTTAGAGAAGAGGCAAAGGATTCAGGTCCACTTACTGGCTACCCTAGAAGAGCCCTTTTTGATGCAAATCAACTTGACAAGGATTTTTAAAATACTCCATGTTCCGGAAATAGATCAATGACCAATATAAAACCAATACTGTCAGGAACCTGAAACCAGTATTTGTTATTTATAGGAACATTATACCTTACCACCTATCAACCCCTAAACTGCTTGCAGACGTCATCTTACCACCCTGCCTTCTTGGGCAGGCTTTAGTAGCATCCTTCGTATCAAGGGGATCATTTTACCATTAGTACACATTAATAGTTAGTAATTTCCTGAAGCCTATGGCTTTGCACTTCACAAATATCTCTCAAAAGCAAAACTGAACTCAATCATTTTTGTGCAAGACCAAAATCCAAACTGGCACCGACATGTTATGAAGATGGCTGAAATGCAAACTCTTGTTCCTACTGAGGACAACTGCCAGACAACCCCTCAAAAGGAGAAGCAAAGCCCTGCAAATACAGAGCCAGTACAGCATCATATGGAAGTCAGAAATCACCACTCACCATGATGATGTGACTCATCACCTGACAAGGCAAAGAGAGCAGAGCTAAAAAAGGAGCAATGAATGATATTCACATCAGGCAGAGACATGGCAACAGACTTGGGATGCTGGGGGATACAGCACAGCCTATTTGCCATCATACCCCACATGACAGATCTTGTATTAATCCATTCCATTTAAGAAAGGAGTTGGAAAGGTGCACTTACACTCCAATGCAGAGCTGGAAAGGAGGAAGCTCACAGCCTCTCCTGCTGCCTCCACCCCAAATCTTTCAGCTGGCTGTAAGATGTGCAAATGTCACAATGCAAAGGCTTTTGTCCCAACCACTTCAGCCAGATGACATTCCTGCTCTGTGACTCTGGACCTGTGAGCAGCATTTTCTTGGTGAGGCTTTTAAGGCATCTCCTGCTGCACAGTCCTATTTACTTCCTACTCTGATGTTCTGAAGTGAGCCCAACTTGTGCACACAACTGGCTCCTTTTAGCCATGATGCATTTAGAGTGATCATTCCATGCTTTCCCAGGGTGTTAGTTTAGCAAACACAGTGTGTTTGTCACTCAGCCACAGTACAAATCGCAGCACACTGCTCACACTCTTTCCTTTCTGATGGGGAGATGCAAGACTTGCCAGGAAGCCACAGAGGGTGCTGGGCAGATGAGAGCTGCAGGGACAGCTCCACCCCAGTCCCTTAGCAGATCTGGAGACTCTCCCTTTAGAATGTCTGAAAAATGCTTGCAGCTCCATCACAAAACAAAAACCACTTCAAAACCAGCAACTGCATTGGAACAGGTGGATAGTGAGCCGGATGGGATGCCCTCCCACAACAATTTGTGAGGATTTAAATATCTCTGCTCAGAGGAACTAAAAAGTCAAAAAAATCTCACAATTTCTCCTGAAATAAGAATGCTGGGGGAGGAAAAGAGGAAGAGAACATTTTGTTTCTATTCATTTTCAGGAATTCCATTTCAGTTCCAACATTTTTTTTTTAACCTTCAATTAATGCTAGCTATCAAAATGAAGCAGCATTTGGACCTAAAAACATTGAAACTTTGCCATTTAGAAAAGGTCAAACAGTTTTCAAAACATTTTCATCTAATATTTTTCAGCAACTGAAATTCATCAAAACCAACATTTTCCCACAAAATTGTTCTCTCTCAGACAATTGGCATTTTCTGAGGCACGATGCTCCTTGGGGGATCTCCTTGCCAGCCCAAGGGGCTGCTCTTTGCCTTTTGCCACCAGCTGCCCCCTTCTGCTGTCCTGTCAGACCTTGGCAACACACCCTGGCCCCAGCTCAGGAGATCAGGTCAATCAAAGTCTGACACCAGGCCTGGATATGCACATCCACAGGGATCATTACATACCTCCCTGTCTCAATGTTTTATCTGCATTTTGTATCTCTGTTTCATCACCCAAAACACAGTCACCAGGCAGAGGAGTAAGGAGAGGTCTCCCACAAACCTGCAAATCCCAAACACCTGCTTACACTTGGAGGGGATTTACTGACAAATGACTGTAAAACAGGAAAGCTGCACAGCAAGGACTTCATTGCAGCTACAGAAGGTACTTCCATGGCTGTGAGCAGAGTTAGACAGAGCCTGGCATGCAGCTGCTTCTGCTCTGACTCCATGCTAAGAAGTGTCTGGCTTACAGTCAACTCCATCTTTGCATAGGCAGACAAGCTCAGGTTTGTCTGTGCTCATCTGTGTAGACATGAGTAACATGCTGGGGCCAAAGTCATAGTCTAGTCCATAAACAATCTCCATCAGAGCACAGCAAACCACATCAATTAAAGGAGAAGAGACTGAAGCCTTCACCAGGAACTTTGTGTGGCTTTTCACTGGGGCTGAGACAACAGGAACACAGACATACACCTGTGCTGCCAGTGTTGGCTGGCATGGGAAGCACCAAACAATAGCCACAGACTTCCTCAAAATTATACAGGACTATTAAAATCAAAAGGCAGAAATGCCATATTCTCTTCTCTACATACACTGTCTCTCTGCAGCCCAAGCCATTTAGAAAACAGTACTAGAAAAGAGCAGTACAGAAGGAGCACCTTCACATTTCAATAGAAACTAAACAACATTCCCTCCCAGAAACTATCAGGATCTGGGGCTGCAAATTCAGCTCTCTACACCTGTCATGCTGTAATATAAACTGCTTCCAAAAATCCTCTTACAAACACAGCCCTGAGAGCTATTATGAGTGAGCAGGGCTGGGAACTCACAAGGTCATCACCTACTCATTGATACACAAACCCACAGCAGTGTCTCCAATTAAAGCAGGCTCGAGTTAAGCCTTGTTCTCCAGATCTGGAGCCTCCTTGCCAGACATCTACAAAACAACTGATTGTCGAAGGCTTTTGGGCTGTGCCACTCACCACTGCCTGTAGTGGGAAAAGTGTTGTGCAAGGAAGGTTTTCACCAAGGACCTGTTTCCAGTAAATCTAGCTCTAATACAGAATTCCAGAGGGATTTCTCTCATACACAAAATGCTGGACTGCTCACACTCCAGCCAGAGAGCTGAACAGGGCCATGGCACACAGCCCTCCCTTACAGTACCACCATGGGAGTCTCAGCTCCAAGGGGGATACAAGCACACACAGTTTTCTTCCAACCTGGAAAGAGAACAGAAGCACTGCAGGAACCCAGAGTGATGGGAGCCAGGGCAGCAGATGGGAGCTGGAGAATCTGGACAACACCAAGGTCACTTCTGTTTCCTTCAGCAAAATCCTAAATATGTGACTCAAGCCCCCCCAAAACCAGGTGCAGAACTAAGTGCACAGGTTATGTCATCACCACTCTGTGCTTCAGGTGGATGGGTCACATTACTGAGCAAACAACTGCTGCATCTGCTATGTGATGGGTATGCTATGCTCTTGCAGAAAAATCACAACTCTTCTATGACTCAAAACTTAGGGCTTGTTCAAGTTCCCAGGTCCTCCTTTCAAGAGAAGTTCAATTCTCAAAGCTAAATCCAAACTGTGAAAGGACATCAATCCTGCATCCCACTTTAGAGACTGGGTTTTTTTCTTCTCACATAGTCCCTGCAGAAATTATATTGCCCATGTTCCTACACAAGTCCTCAGGAAGCTCCAGAGCAACCCAGGGGGAAAGCCTTCTTGTAATAGATATACAGTAGAAACTATCAAACAGCTTTGTGGGTTTTCCACTGAAGCAAGAGCTGCTTAAGCATTTTTCAACTAAAAAATATGTGATAAACATTTACCCACAGCCTTAGTTTCAATTTCCTGAATGCTTCTAACAGTGTAAGTTTTTAAGCAGCACAGAACAATGCCCTAAATCTAGACTGCAGGTTAGATTTAGAGAAAAAAAGCACTAGGCTTTTCTAAGACAAAGGATGGCTAGAACTCAATTTCTAAAACCTGCATTTCTACCAGCAGTTACTGACCCTCTTGTACACCTTATCTGTCACATGCTGGTGTTTTTCTACCACTCCTGAGCCTTTAGCAGCCACCTTAAAGAAGGGCACAAGAGTTATTCAGTCCCAGCTCTTCCTTATGTACTTTTTTTTCCCACAAAATCTAAAGATTACCAGAATTAGCAAGAGCTGGTTACTTCACATCTCTCTTCCCCTACAACCCAATGAGCTGGTTTGGATTGTGTTTCTGCCTCAGCAAAGGTAACAGCAATCCTTTCCCCAATTTCAGCAGGTCCATGAAGAGGCAGAGCTGGGTGCAGGTCCGTAGCACAGGGATGCTGAAGCAGAGCAGGCAGCACTGGGCCAGTCTGAGGGGAAAGAATCAATTTGGAAGAGCTCTTGGCTCCTGCATCTGCACATTATGCTTGACAGGATGGAGCTGGACAGAGAGAATGACTGTTTATCCAGCATGTTTACACAGAGACTCTCTCTTTCCGGGAAGCATTCAATCTGTGATGCCACCCAAAAGTACCTGGCACCTGGAGAAACACCAGGTGTTTCCCGGGCTGACATTCAGCTGCTCCTGCACTGGATGGACACCAGTGTTTGTGGAGGTGGTACTGGCCAGCTGCCTGGCACAGGGCAGCTGAAGAGAGGATTTATTTCTCCTCAGTCTTAGCTCCTTTTGTAACTGCTGGGCCATGTTTTCCTCCCACCTGCTCAGGTAAGGAAGGTAAAAGGAAACTGTTTTTGACAAAATGAATGTTTATGTATTCTATAAAAGAATTACCCAATCTTCGCCTCTCTTCCTGCTGAAACTCTGTCACAGCACATGCCACAGACAGCCACAATACACAGAGTATCCCCACACAATTTCAGAATGCTTCAGCCCAAACACAGTCACACCAGACTTCTTCAGAAAGCTGCAGGTGCCTGCCCATACAGAGTAACATCACTTCAGAGAGCTGCAAGGGTCTGCCCTTCTTGTTCTTCAGCCCAGCCTTTTATCCCCTCATGTTCCTGCAGTGCCCCTGTGTGCCCTCTGTTCCCTTTGGTGGTTGCTCAGAGCACCTGGGCACTCCATGGCTCATTGCTGCCAGTGCTGCTCACCTGCTTCTCACAGCTGTGCCCACTGGGGATGGGGCTGGGCCCCACTCCCAGTCACCACAAACTCTGTACCTACAAATTTCTCCTTCCTGGGAGGAATTTTGGGCAAGTCATTGAGTTGGTTAGGCTTTTTTAGCAAATCTACACCTGAAGCATCTGGCAGGAAAAGGTAATTGCAGTTCTGAGATGCAAAATGTCATTTAACTGCTTTGCTTTGACTCTCATACAAATAAGGGACACCAGAATACTGCACAATCAACATCCAAACAGTTTTGTAGGAGCTTTACTCAAACCTGCTTAACCCATGGGACCTCTATCAAGTCTCATTCCTTGCTAACAGCAGAGTATGCCAGTGTAAACTGTTTGCTGGGGAGGTAAGAGGCTCCATTCAAGGAACAGTAAATGCTGGGAAGCTGAAGAAAAGTGATTTCTGTTGGAGTCCTGTTTCTCCTCCAGCACTTGTTCCATGCAGATAATTTAGCTCTGCTGCACTAAAGAGACACACAAAATTCAGGATAACAAGTGTCCAGGTTGGTGAGCAAAGTCAGCTTTGGGGGAGGGCAGCTGGGAGTTGATTAAATGAACATTAAGAACAAGTTGTCATGCCTTGCCCAACCAAGCACAACTGGCCTTGGAAACGAGGAGGTGAAAGGATAAAGGCAATGGCACAGGGCTAGCTGCAGCCTCTGGACGTGGGAAAGTGACCTGAGCCTTCTACACAAAAGTTATATCAACTGGCTGTTGGATAATGGACCCTGTACCACCAAACCATGCTG